AGCCACAGCCTGTTCAGTGTATAAAAGATCCAGAAAAAATAAACTTGGGCTCTCATCTCTCTGGGAGCCCTCCCGACTCTATCTCTGTGTCTTTCATTTTCTTCATGCTCACTCCCCCATTCAGGTGCTGTTCGACAAGTGACAGCGGGCTCCGTCACGGGTGGCGCCCGAACAGGGACCTGAATACGGAGGACCATAGTGAAGGACACCGTGGATCGTGAGCTCAGATAAGTAATTCAAGGGCGGTGAGTACACTCGGGAGAGTAACAAGATGGGTAATGGTAACAGCCGAATGCTTTTTGTACATATGCTTAAAAATATGCTTCACGCTCGTGGAGCAAAGGTAGGGCATCAACAATTATGTAATTTCCTGGAGTTTGTAGAGAAAGTTTGTCCTTGGTTTCCTGAAGAAGGCACAGTAGATTTAGAAGTATGGAACAAGGTGGGAAAGCGACTTCAGGACTATTACGATGGTCATGGACCCACTAAAGTCCCTATAGATACTTTTAGTTTATGGGCTTTAATTAGAGATAGTTTGGACCCTCGGCATGAGAGAGAGAGGGTTAAAGGACCCTCCTCAAGTCCTTCCTTGGAGGAGTCTGACAAGGCTGATGTTCCTGAGGTTTTCCCTCCGCCTCCTATAGAAAGTGAAACTAAGCCATCTGCTCCGCCAGTGTATGCTGATGCGGAGCCTGCACTAAGGAAGGGCCTTTTTCCAGATAAGGGTCCCTTAGACCTGGGAGATGCTGATGATTTGGAAGAAGAGGCTGCTAGGTATAACAGTGAGGACTGGCCCCCCCCTCCCTGTCGTAGCCGTGGCCAGGAAAACTGAAAAATTCAAGTGGTCAATGAATGAGGACGTGACCGAAAAGATTGCTAGGTTGGAAAAGACATTGGAGTCTCTTTGCCAGCAGTGGCAGACAGGCTTAAAGGTGGAAGAGGAAGACCAGAAGACTCAGGGAGAGGGAGGAATGATTCCTAGTATAATCGCTGGTCTTGATCCCCTGCCAGTTGTAGGTCCAAAATTAAAAAAAAAAAACTGACCCTCTTATAGCCATGATCAAACATCCCCCAGGACCCAGACCTTTGTCTGTCAACTCTCGGTCTCTGTCGCCATTACAAGCTACCCTGCAACATGCGGTTGACAGAGGAGAAGATACCCAGGGCTTTCATTTAGCTTGTCCAGTATTTGAGGAAGCTGATGCTCAAGGGAATATGGTCAGAACGCATCGGCCGATACCTTTTAAACAGCTCAAAGAGCTAAAAATAGCATGTGCACAATATGGCCCTACCGCACCTTTTACTCAGACCATGTTAGAATTGCTGAGTATGGATGCGCTGTCTCCAGGGGATTGGAAACAGCTTGCTAAGGCATGCTTGTCTGGGGGAGACTTTCTCCTTTGGAAATCAGAATTTTCCGAGCAGTGTCAGAGAACAGCTGAATTAAATCGAGCTAACAGAAATGATGTTGATTATGACATGTTAGCAGGGGAGGGGCAATATGTGGACCTTGCCAATCAATTATTGTTTCCTGCAGGAGTATATGCACAGGTCAATACCGCTGCCAAGCGGGCCTGGCATAAGCTGACTTCTACAGGTAGGCAGACAGAAGATTTATCTAAAATTAAGCAGGGACCTGATGAGACTTTTCAAGATTTTGTAGCCAGGTTAATGGAGACTGCCAGTAGATTGCTGGGGGATTCCGATGCAGGGTTATTGCTGGTCAAACAACTAGCTTATGAAAATGCCAATACCACCTGTCAGGCAGCCCTAAGACCATTTAGAAAAAAAGGCACCATTTCAGACTATATTAGAATGTGTGCTGACATTGGGCCTGCTTATACTCAGGGCCTTGCCATGGCAGCGGCTTTGCAAGGAAAAACCGTTAAAGAAGTGTTGTTCCAACAACAAAAGAGGAATCCCAAAGGCAGGGTTCCAGGTCCACCAGGGAGTTGTTTTGGATGTGGTCAAATAGGCCATCAGGTGCGGCAATGTCCCAATAAGACTCCTCCAGTTAATTCAAACAATGCAGGAAAAGGAAATGGGCCTAGATTGTGTCCCAGATACAAAAGAGGCAATCATTGGGCTAATGAGTGTAAATCCAAAAAGGATACCATGGGAAATATTCTCCTGCAGGAAAACGGGAGGAGGGGCTCACCCCAGGCCCCGTGACAATGTTATGGGGCACTTCAAACATTCATTCCCAGCAAGGAAATCCATTCAGAATCTCTTCAGAGCAACCACAGGCAGTGCAGGACTGAACCTCAGTCCCTCTGCCTTCACAGTATTAACCCCAGAAATGGGGATGCAGGCCCTACCTACCGGAGTTTATGGACCCCTACCATCAGGGATGATAGGGTTGCTTTTAGGTTGAAATAGTGCTACTATGAATGGCATTCTGGTTGCTCCTGGGGTCAGAGATGGGGATTTCATTGGAGAAATTAAAATCATGACTCACTCACCTACCGGGATCTCTGTGATACAAGTGGGACAATGTATAGCGCAGTTGGTGTTGCTCCCTCAAGTGCTAACAAATAATCCAACAAAAAGAGAAAAAAGAGGAGATGCTGGATTCGGCTCCTCAGATGTTTATTGGGTGCAGTCTATAGGAGCCCAACGACCTGAGCTCACCTTGACCATCGATGGGAAAAATTTTCAGGGTCTACTGGACACTGGGGCTGATGTCTCAATTCTGACTGCAGACCAATGGCCTATGGCATGGCCTAGGCAACTGACAATGACACAATTACAAGGAATAGGTCAAAGCCAAAGCACTGAACAGAGTAGTAATGTGTTACTTTGGAAAGATGCCGAGGGTCATCAGGGTAGATTTCCACCGTACATCGTGCCGGGGCTGCCGGTTAATCTGTGGGGCCGAGATGTTATGAAAGAAATGGGGGTGTATTTGTATAGTCCTAGTGAACAGGTCACCCACCGAATGTTTGATCAAGGGCTTTTACCTAATCAGGGCTTGGGAACTAAAGGTCAGGGGATACAGGAACTTTTAATGCCGATCCAACGACCTTCAAGAACAGGCTTAGGGTGTTTTTGAAGGAGGCCACTGGTCAGCCTGTACTCCACACAGATCCTATTACTTGGAAAAGTGAAGAACCCGTGTGGGTGGATCAGTGGCCTCTCACTGAGGAAAAAATTACAGCTGCTGAGCAGTTAGTACAGGAACAGCTCGATAGCAGACATATAGCTCCTTCTAATTCTCCTTGGAACTCTCCTATCTTTGTAATTAAGAAAAACTCAGGGAAATGGAGATTATTACAAGATCTTAGAAAAGTCAATCAGACTATGGAAGTAATGGGAGCCTTGCAACCAGGGTTGCCTATGCCATCAGCTTTACCTAGAAATACTTATAAGATCATTGTAGATTTAAAGGATTGTTTTTATACTATTCCACTTGCTCCTGAAGATTGTAAACGATTTGCTTTTAGCATACCCTCGACAAATTTTAAGGAGCCTATGAAGTGATATCATTGGAAAGTATTGCCTCAGGGTATGGCTAATAGTCCTACTTTATGTCAGAAATTTGTAACTCAAGCAGTAAATGTAGTTAGACAAACATATCCCCAAATCTATATTGTTCATTATATGGATGATATACTTTTAGCTCATAGACAAGAAGCCTTCTTATTAATAGCCTATGTTCATTTACAACAAGCTTTGAAGGATCACAGATTGATAATTGCACTGGAAAAGGTTCAGACTGAGCCACCATATTCCTATTTAGGACATAAGTTATATCCCAAATCTATATTACCTCAGAAGGCTCAAATTAGGAAAGACAATTTACACACTTTGAATGATTTTCAGAAATTGTTAGGAGATATTAATTGGCTTAGACCATATTTACAAATCTCCATCGGAGAATTGAAACCTTTATTCGATATCCTCCGGGGAGATTCTGATCCTACATCTGTTAGAAAATTAACTGAAGAAGGTCAGATGGCCTTGTGTGAGATAGAACAAGCTATAGAACAAGCAAGTTCAATATATAGATTATGCTCCAGGATGGGCTGCCTATATTCTGGTGACAGCACATACTCCCACTGCCATTTTATGGCAGGATGGTCCCTTGCTTTGGTTGCATTTGCCTGTTTCTCCAGCCAGAGTGTTAACTCCCTATTATGAATCTGTGGTGTGCCTGGCTCATATGGCGCGGGAGGAATCTCGAAAATATTTTGGAGCAGAGCCTTCCTTAATTGGAGTCCCGTTTACCAAACAACAGCTAGATTGGCTATTCCAAAATGTGGACATGTGGGCCATTGCTTTTGCACATTACCCTGGATGTATAGATAACCATATCCCCAAGGATAAATTATTGCAATTTGTTAATATTCATGCTTTGGTGTTTCCCAAGATTATGAA